GGCTTTCATCCCGATCTTATAGGATCACGCTCTCTATAAAGGCTTTACTTCCATTGTCATGATTTTATTCATAAAACCACTTTTTGACGCTTGGTCGTGTTGCCAGGGCGGTCTCAGAGTACATGATTTGTTTGGTGTTCTATGCCATAATAATCATTATATATTTATAGTGTCGGACCTTGGACTTGGCAAATTATCGTGACTTCTATGGCATAGGATGTTAGACAAGGTTCTTTTTTTGAGATACTTCTGAACACTGGGCCAATTTACGAGAACTACGCTAGACACGATTCCGCGACCTAAGAAGACGCCAAGACATCTTTCTCTTCATACCTATTTTTAAAACCGCTCGTTTCATGATTTTATCGTAATCAGAAGAATGGCTAATCCTGTCCGTATTTTGGTCTGGGGAGCCATGGGTATAAATCTATCTACCAAACCTGTATTTAGCTCTATATCTATATCACATATATGTGTATATATATTCGATATATGTGTATATATCATAATTGAGTATTATTTTCAAAGCCTAGTTCTTAGTCTGATGAATCAGTGACGTACAACCATGCCCTATTTGGACGCATGCTTAAATAGCCTATCTTTATAGCCGATTATTGCGGTGGTACTTCCGGCCAGAAACTGCTTCATTAAAGATGTAGTGACCGCTTTGGCTGGAGCTCAGAGCCATCAAGTTTACATCCTTACCTGATGGATAAATAAAGCTATGAAGACCAAGATGTTGTAGCCTCTCGTATGGTCGCAGTCTCCTTTCGATTTATAGAAGTGGGTTGACCTCGTCGCAACTTGGTCTTGTGGTCAGGGAGACTATGTAGAACGCATCTAGTCCGAAGTCGTCTGCCATAGTAGTTGTCATGATTCCCAGCATCTGACAGTTGACTTGATACATTCTCAAACGTTCCGCCTCTTTAAGGAGTTCGTATCTTGGTGCGGAGAACGGCAAAGCTCACTGATGATGCCGACTACGATGCCGGCGAAACGTTTGAGAATGTATTAAGTCTACCGTCATATGCTGGGAATCATGACAATTTCTATGGCAGGCAACTTCGGACTAGGTGCGTTCTACATAGTCTCCCTGAAAACAAGACCAAGTTGCGACAACGAGATCAACCGACTTCTGATGTATACAGTTTAAGCGCTATTAACTCCAATCTTTTAGATCTAAATATCCCAGTGTCTGGTAACAGACTCCCTATTTAGGTATCCCATTTCTATCATATTTTGTACTTTTAACTCGTTTTTCTGCATCTTATGCATTGGTCACTCCATCCGCTTGATTTGAGCACTCAATTGGTGTAAGCCATGCCTACATTCAGAGCTGTGTTATCGAGCCAAAAGTTCCTGCTAGCGTGAGTTCCATCTCTCAAGCTACCTCATTGGTTGAGGATATGGATGAACCGGTTGATACGGGTCTACTAGTCAACTGGCACGTGCCGCCCCGGTTGGCCCAGTGAATGCCATTGCATCAGTATTATAAAATAAGAGACTTGCTTTTAGAACCAAGCTGACAAGGTAGTTTGTATTCAACACATGATATATATAAATACAAGTACAGCCCCACAAGTCATGTATGTACACGGTTCATCTGGCCGTACCAAGAATGCAGAAGAAGCTTCCTGAAGAGGCAGAAGAGAGGAAGAGAGAAAAATGTTTCCGTTCAACTCACTGTCTGGGCGGTGGAATTATTTAAGCTAATTGCAGGGAAGACTTAGGGTGAATGTACACATATTTCACACATCTTGACACATTTGTTTGCCTATGCTCATGGGGGTATTTTACAAGAGCTGTCCAGAAGAGACCATTATTTGGAAAGAGCCCCAGTGGTAAGTCACCTGCTCTGAAAGTAGCTTATACCAGCGTCACCCCGTCTGCCAGGCTGGAGGGCAGCTAGGCTCAAGCACGGTTTGGAGTTCAGACAGCGTATACTTTGGTGCCACTGACTGCTTCGGGGATTTTGGTACCAGACGGCCACCCCGAGATTGGCGCGTCTGCCTTAGGATCTGGTCCACGGCTTGTGGCGCTGTGAGTCTGGGTTGATTGAGGCCTCGAATGCTCGGCGGCTGTATATGCTCCAACTCGGGCTTCAGTGGAACGTCTTCAACCGGATGATTCCTGTAGCCAGTTTCTGATTACACAGCTTCAGGAAGTTTGTTCTTCACCCATCGACTATGTAGCTTCGCCTCGGTAACGCGAAAGTTTTGGTCCCCTAAATCGTCAGAATGTGTGCTTCATTGCCTGATGCTAGGCGTGATGGTTTTCTTGGAGTGATAGGATGCATGCATACTGGGCTGTTTGTGCTGTCTGGAGGGACTGTGTTTCCTGGTTGACTGGCGTTGTTGGCGACGGTAGTAGTTGTCGTCGTGGTCGCGGTTGCGACAGATAATGCGGAGGCAGCCGAGAAGTGTAGATGGAGGGCGAGTGTGGCTGGGGACAGAGTGTCGAGATAAACACCGTGGGACCGTTGGGATGCAAGGTGGACACGAGGGAAGTAGCCGTGGAGACCGAGGGTGACATATGGCAGCCATGGCCCGATGAGCTGGTTGCCTCGTCCTCAGGATATACTCCGCTGTCATAGGATGGCGTGCTACTTGGCACAGAGTGAATCGGATGAGCAC